CCCCATGGCAGTGACACCAGAGTCTCCACTGTACCTGCACCAGACAACCACAGACTTTTTTTTTCTCTCTTAAAATTCAGATCTGGCTAAAAAGCCCATGAGAGTTTCTCAGGCATGGAAAGCCAAGACACTGTGGCAAAACAAAACAAAACAAAACAAACACCTAAATGAAAGATCTCTGTGAGTGAGATCTTAGTGGAAAGAACGGGCCATCAAAGAAGGAGGTACCTTTCTCTGAAGGGAGGAGAGAACTCCCACTTTGACTATGGCCTTGTCTAAATAAGGTCGGAGTTTGTGAACTCTAGAGGCTCCCATAGCCCTGGCAGCTCATGACAAGAGCCTCGGGTGATTACTGACATCATAAATAAGAGTGTCAATTGTTAAATCAACAACAGGAGTCACTGTGCGCCTACTCCCCATGTAGGATCTCTATCAATGTTGTACTATGCGAATTGACGGTAAAACTACTTCTCAAACAGTACTCTATACTTGGTGTATCTGTGTGGGTGCAAACTGTTGAAATCTTTACTTAGTATATACTAAGTTGATCTTCTGTATATAAAGATAATTGAAAATGAATCTTGATGAAGAATGGGATGGGAGAGGGAATGGGAGATGGGATGGTTGTGGGTGGGAAGGAGGTTATGGGGGGAAAAGCCATTATAATCCAAAAGTTGTACTTCCAAAATTTATATTAAATAAAAGTTGAAAAAAAAAAGTTTGTGGAAATGCATATCATGGAAAAACTGAAAAAAAAAAAAAAACTCTGAGGAACAAAAAAGTGTCTCATAAACTCTTTAACCAAGTTGTTTCCAGAATTGAGTAAACAACCAACATTCCTACTAGTAAGATTAGCTTGGAATAGAGACAGTTTCTCACTGTTTTTGTATTATTTTTGACTTAGCTTAACCTGAAGACACATACTGCCCCTGGAAGCCCCTCCCACTTAACAGAAGACAAGATTTATCAGAATGATAAACAACTTAAAATTCCAAAGGCAACCAGTGCTAGGCATTAATACAACACACGATAACAATCCTCATTTTTACAGATCATGTATTCTAAATGGAAACTTATTTATAAACATCTTTTCTCAACTTTAGCGTGGGTTAGCCGTTCTGAAACCCCACTGCGAGCACTCGAAGACTCAGGAACAAGTAAGAAGAGGCTGTGGATGATGGCAGCCTCGTCTCTCACGGAGCAGGGAGGCCACACACACCCCGCAGTTAGTTCCAAGGATCGGAGGCGTTGCATGAGCTCTGGGTTTGCAAGACAAGGATCTATGTCTAAATACAGTCTTCAACACCAGGACCAGGACTCTGCGAGAAACCGCCGCTTTCTACGGGGTACAGGGCACACACTTGTAAAGCCTGGACATCTCACTGCATCCAGAAGCCAAAAAAAAAGGGAGGGGCTCAAAAATGGTGGGGTAAAGTCGAAGACATGCTGGACACGTGCAGGCGGCTCCCACTGACCGCACCAGAGATCACGTCAGCAAGAGTTAAAGGGCTTTGTAATGAGTGTCCATGAGGTAACATGAAAGTTTATCTACTCACTCTGACACGAGTCAGTAAATAAACAGTGACAAAGATGAAGAAGGTCAGCCTTTGACCTTGCAGAAGAATTCCAAATAGCAAATGCAGAAGCCACATCAGAATGATAAAAATCACCATTTTGTTGCAACCCTTGTAATAACTGAAAAGGATGATCACCAAAGGATGCTAACTGGTGGGGAACGCATGCCGAGAAGCACGTTTTGCGTGGTTTCCAAGCACTCTTCTCTCAAATGACCACAGGGAAACAGGAGCTAGAACCAGGCAGACACCTCAGCAAGGGTCAAGCTCCACCTCCCAGCATGGGAAGACTCCACACCGCCTGCCTCCCGATGTACCGCAGGGAGACCACAGGGGCACAGCTTGACCCTAATCTTAAGAAAACATCAGACACATTCAGACTCAAGCCTGAGCATTCTTACTCTGTGCTGAGACAGTGTCTAACGTGACTTGGCAAACCACAGATGGGTTCCAATTTTATTAGCTGTACAGGAAATTGGGGGACCATCTACAGAGTAACTGACTTTTGCTCTTTGAACACGTCAAGGTCACGGCGAGGGTCTGGCCTGGTGGTCAAGATCGAGCTGGACGCCTACACCCACAGCAGAGAACCCAGGCTGGAGTCTGATTCCAGCTTCCTGCTAATGTCCATCCTGGGAGGCAGCAGGGATGGCCCAGGTGGTTGAGTTCCTGGGAGACCTGGGTTGACCCCAGGCTCCTGGGTTCGCTTGGCCTAGCCAGGCTGTTGCCGGCATCTGGGGAGTGAACCAGAGGATGGGAGCTTGTTCTGTCGCCTACTTGTTGCTGTCTCCTTGTCTCTCAAACAGAAAGAGAGACAGAGAGCGATAGGAAGGCCTTGTGCTTTAAAAATAATGTCAAGGTCACAAAGGACAAGCAGAGACTATGGAGCTGCTTCAGATCAAAGGAGACTGAGCAACCCTAACAATGAACTAACTGCACCGTGATTCTGGGATTGGATTTCAGACTAGAAAAGTGTATCTCTTAGATACACTGATGGGGAATTCATGCAGTTGTCTGGAAACGACCACACGGCTATCAACATTATATTCCAGACTCAGATAGTTATATTGTGACTGTGCAGTTTCTAGTGAACTCACCGAAGGCTGTGGAGTTAAAGCCATCGTGCCCTCAACTGCTGAGGCTCAGGGTGCAGACACGTATGCGTTTGTGTGGAAGAAGAGGGAGAGACGGAGTGACAAAGAAATGTGTTGAGCAGTATTGCACTTGGGGTACCTGGGTGAACAATGTAAGGAAAATCTTTGTCTTGTTTTTGTAACTTTTTTGTAAAATGTGAAATTATTATAAAATAAACTTTAAGAAAAGTTTAAGCTTGACATTTGTCCCCAGAAATGAGGAAAATTACACCCATCCAGTTCTCAGCATTATCTTGATGAACTGAAATCATTCATTGTAACAACTCTTCATAACAACAAATCATAATAAACCCTTGATACTAGACTTGAAAATATCTTTTGTCAAGCCCTCCCCCGCTTCAAATTACACTTAAAACAAGTAGGCGCCAGAGATAATAAACACTGTGAAGGCAGCAATATACAGGGGAAAGAATTCTTTTCATTCCAATCCAGAAAGTCACGCGATGACGCTAGATCACGTGGCTTTCAGATCCCCTGGGCCACAACTGTGTTATCTGGAGATGAAGGGGTACCATCAGATGACCTCTGCGCTCTGTCCTAATTCTCACATCACAAGAATCTCCAATTTGAGGGTAAAATACAGATCTCATTTAAGCCAAAACTTCAAGTTCAAATTCAGTGACTAGAGCTCAGTTAGAAATGTTTACTTTTCTTACTTATGGGACAGGAAGTGTTCACAAACGCTCTGACACTGGGAGCTCAGGACACACTACCTTGAAAAGTGACTGCAGGAGACCAGAAGGTGCCATCCTAAAGCGTGCACCTTTGGCACACTGACCACTGAGAGAAACGGCAGGTGCAGAAGTGGCTCTGAGAAGCTGCCCTTCTGCAAGAGAGACGTGCCCAGCAGAGTGGGGCCAAGGTCAGCCTGCACAGTGACCCACAACTGTGCAAGGTGCAGCCCCACCCCGGCTCAGCTCAGGCAGGCTGTTCATTGTTCTTCTCCCTTTACTGCAGGGAATGACGGCATCGAGGCCTGAAGTGTAACCACCTTCTCTGAGGTCTACTCTAGACTTCTGCTCAGGCTGCTGCGTGATGTCCCAGGTACGCATGAGGTGTACCTGTTAATAAACTCGTGTCTGCTTTTCTCCTGTTAATGTCTTTTGTTACAGGGAGTACTAGTTACGAACTATGAAAGACAGAAAAATTTACTTCTTTCTTTCCTACATTACCTGTTTTATTTTAGAAAAAAAAAAAAAGGTTCACTGGGGTTGGCAAAGGGTTTAAGGCACCAGATGCAGCACTGGCATCTCATATGGCCACCAGTTCAAGTCCCAGCTGCTCCACTTCTGATCCAGCTCCCTGCTAATGTGCCTGGGGAAGCAGCAGAAGATGGCCCAAGTACTTAGACCCCTGGCACCCATGTGGGAGACATGGATAGAGTTCCTGGCTCCTGGTTTTGGCCTGAACCAGCCCTGGCTGTGTGGCCATTTGGGGAGTGAACCAGCAGATGGAAGATCTTTCTGTCTCTCTCTCTCTTATTCTGACTTCCAAATAAATAGATAGATAAATAAATCTTAAAAAAAGAAAAAAAAGAAAAGAAAAACGAGGTCATTAGGCTGGGGCAGCGCCAGCTCCGTAAGCTCCTGCGTAAGCCAACCAAAGCCCAAGGCACACAGTACAATGAAACTGGAGACCTCACCCACCAGCAGCTGACGGCTATCTTCCAACCCGCCAGGCACATTCTATCTTCCTTCCGCCTGTGCAAGTGCCCTACAGCAGGGCTCTGGGAGCCTCTTCCGGGCCCGAGTGCTGCCGGACTCATGAGTTGTTCCGTGTTCCAATCAACTGCATCGTTTTAAAAAGCCCACACATCTTTTCACAACTTTAAGCCTCGCCTTGTGTGACCCCAGGCCTGGATCCTAGCTGGCTACTCAGTCATTTCTTTGTGCTTTTGAATTTTGACAGCCCCTTCACCAACAAGCACATCTTCCCACCCTGGTGATCAGACCACTGGGCATGCACAAACCACAGTGGGCAAACATCGCTCACGTTTTTAAAGTCCAGTAGGCACACTGTGCTAATGCGAATGGATTTCTTCCCACCTATTAAGAGAGAAGTCAGTGGTACACCAAACACAGATCTAAGTGTTAATGCAGTTCAGCTGGCTTTGAAATGAATAAAATTAGGTAAGTGACCTAGAGGTTGCCCCTGAATTGCGAATCTTCTCTGCTGTTTGGCTTGGGTATGACTGTTCCTAGGCGGGAGGCTGCTGGGACCTGCAGTCACTGAGGTGACAGTGCGACGTGCCAGCGTGCGGGCTGTCACTCACCTGAGAGCTCTTGCCACACTTGGCACCTCCCGAGACGATCACGACCTGGCTCTGCAGCAGGCTCTCCATGAAGGAGTACTTCTCCTTCCATATCGGGAGGTCCTCTCTCTCCTTCAGAAGCTTGTAGTAGCGTGACGAGTAGGGCAGTCCATCAAAAGGGTTCAGTTCCAAGTCCTCACAGGCCAAAACGCCGTCCTCATCTCCATCACTGGAATCCAGGGATTCCGGAAAATAGCGTTTTTCCGGGGACGAGTTTGGACATTCCAGCTCCTCTTCCATCTTGTCCAACAGGGATCTCAGGCGGCTGACATCCCACAGTCGGGTTTCTCCTGTCAATAACCCATCGCGGCAGGGTGGAAGGTCTACTCACACAGACGCAGACGCCCAGGCCCAGGAGGCCAGTGCGAGGTTCCGGCAGGTGAAATTCCGCAGACCGCACTGCTCTCCGCTGCGGTGGCACCCACGTGCTGACTGCTGCCGGCACTTTTCAGCACGTTAAATAACTGCCAACGAACCACACTGAAAAACAGACAGAGTACACTGTGAAATCAGGCACAAACTCAAGACGCTAGAAAGCACAGGCATCCAAACAAGAGCACTGTCGCTTTCTCCTAACTGGCTACTGTCTGTCACTTCTGCTGTCTGCTTAAAAGTCCGGGAATCACCTAGGTTAGTTCAGCTGGAGGCCATCTTTCCCTTGGCTGGGTGGAGAAGGATTCTGTGCTGGGCCGGGTGCTCCGGGCCTGACCTCTATTACAGGCCTCTGCATGGGCAGCCCTGTGAACAGAAAGCAACAGGGGGCCTGCCGTTGTGATTGAGGCTAGCCAGTCACGTGGCCACCTAATCCCAGGACAAAAGAGATGCTGGACCTTATAAAAGCCAGAACTGTGAAGGCCGGGAGTGCTCCCTTACACTGGCTATAAGAAGTCTGTTACTACCTTTTTTTTTTTTTTAAAGTAATACTCTAGTTCAAAATAAAGCATTAAAAAAAACACCTTTCATTTAACATTTGCCTGTGCCAGTTTGGAGAGTCAAGCCAGGGAAGTGAAGTTATTCAAGCTTTCCTCTTGAGGTTCCTGCTAGTTTTTATTAATAAAGTCTTTTGTTAACAAAACCAGAACTCTTCAGTGTATTTCTTGAGATTCCTTAGTCTTGAAAACCTAGGAATTTCAGCAGTCAGAAAAACACACCTTTTATTGCAGAAGGAGAGAAATTACCTCCGAGGGGAAGAGTTTTCCCCTGCATGTCAGGTAATGATCTTTCCTCTTCCAATCACTAGCAATCAAGAGAAAAAAATCTGATCACATTGCTGAAGATCAGCCTCTTGCACATTAACCAGGTCAAACTTCAAAAAACAATCAAGTCGGGCCAGCGCAGAGGGTTAATGCCCTGGCCTGAAGCGCCGGCATCCCATATGGGCGCCGGTTCTAGTTCCGGCTGCTTCTCTTCTGATCCAGCTCTCTGCTATGGCCTGGGAAAGCAGCAGAAGACGGCCCAAGTCCTTGGGCCCCCGCACCCGTGTGGGAGACCCGGAGGAAGCTCCTGGCTCCTGGCTTTGGACTGGCGCAGCTCCGGCTGTTGCGGCCATTTGGGGAGTGAACCATCAGATGGAAGACCTTTCTCTCTGTTTCTACCTCTCTCTGTAACTCTGTCCTTCAAATAAATAAATAAATAAATCAAGTCAGAATTGTAAAAGACAGTCCATGATATATTGTCACTGAATTATGCTTTTGCCAGCACCTGATCTGCCCTAACTATTGCTTTGGATGGCTAGACCAAGCGGGCTCAAAGTGCTAGTTCTTAATCAGTGAGTAATAAAAGCTCTCTCTCCAGTGGACAAGCAAGGGTCCAGGAAAACAGCCAATCCCTCAAGAGGTATTTGTTGAGTGCCTTCTAAGAACTTACATTAATAAAATAGGAGTTGTGGCACAGTGGGTTAAGCCACAGCCTGTGACGCCATCACCCCATGTGGGCCCCAATTTGTGTCCCTGCTCCACTTCCAATGCAGCTCCCTGCTAATGGCCTGGGAAAGCAGCGGAAAGTGGCCCAGGTGCTTGGGTCCCTGTCACTCGTGTGGGAGACCCAGAAGAAACTCCTGGCTTCAGCCTGGCCCAGCCATTTGGGGAGTGAAATAGAAAAATAGGGAAGACATGTCTCTCTCTCTGTAACTCTGCCTTTCAAATAAATAAATCTTAAGAAAATAAAATAGGCCTAGAGAAACACATGAAGTATATTTTTAGGGTGGATGCAGGAGCAGAAGAGACCTTACAAAAACTCACAGAGATAAGCTAAAAGAGGACGAAACAGACTACCAGAGTGTGAGGAGGACTTTTTAGTTCTATGCAGGTAGCATCCTTAAAGATTCATTCTGAAAGCTATCTCAAAATTAAGATGGAATTATAATGGCATTCAATACAATCATCCTAATATGGGTGCACTTGCAAACTCTTCTCTGTGGGGTGAGACTAAACCCACAGAGGATCTGCAACCTGAGGTCACAGGACAGTGAATTCTGAGATCTCCAAGCATCAGAGTTCTACTGCCTAAGTGGAGATCAATTTAATCTTACATTTTTCTTTGTTCCGATTAGGCTTGCCTTGAAATAAGAAAGCACAGCCATCATTTCTACCGAGGCCAACATCATTCTGGAGCTCCCCCAGCCCCCTCTCACTCATCATGCACACGTGCCTGTGCTGGTGAGTGGACGATGACCACTGTTCATCCAGCGGAGAGCTGGACTCTGTGGACTCCTTCTCCTTTCCCGGGAATCTGAGCTGGCCCTGTGACTCACTGCGGCCTAAGAATGCACTGAAGTGGTGCTGCATCACTTCTAAGGCACTCCCACGTGTGACACATTCCCCCTGGGAGCCAGCTGTCAATCTGCAAGATGCCAACCCACCCGGAGGGGCCACTGGGAGGAGATGGAAGCTGGACTTACAGTCAACAGCAGCAAAAACCCAACCATGAGAGCACTCTGCCAGAGACGCTCCAGCCCGATGGAGCCCCCGGATGACTGTGACCCTCGGACAGCAGCCCCCGTGGGAGCCTGCTCACTCCAGGGCAATGAATGGTCACTGTTGCCACAAGCTACCATGTTGTCGGGTGGTTTGTCTTACAGCAACAGCTAACCGAACGTCTGTCTTCTTGACAAAATGCTCTCACACTTAACCTTTCCCTCATGACTCGGGGCCACCGGGACAGGAGCAGCCCTGCTTCTCCCTAGCGATCCAGCTCCCAGTCGGCCTGAGGTCTGTGTGCTTCCCTAACCTGCTTTCCTACCTGGCACCTTACAAGCCAGACCGACGTGTCTGCCAGAGTCCACAGCGGGCGCCACACTGAGTCCACTGCGTCTGAGGGGAAAAGCACAGATTTTGGGAAACACATTCATCTGGTCATCGGGATGTTTTACTGCCACACGATTTGGGTTAGGCCCAACTACAGGCTGAGTTTTGGGCACACTGACTCCAGGGATCGCCACCTCGCCTCATGCACCCTGTGACTGGGGAGAGCCACGTTAGTGTCTACATCCCCTGCTCCCGAGATAGTTAGATACAGCAAGAGAGCCATGTCCTCACCTTTGGCAAACTCAATAGTGCCAATCTACAGAAGGAACAAATACTACGGTAGGTTATATGTAATTCAAAATAAAACTTAATAAATCTGTGAAGTCTAAACCACCATTCTACTACAAGAATTTTTTTAATTTTTTAAAGATTTGTTTTTATTTATTTGAAAGACAGAGTTACAGAGAGGGGCAGCAAGAACTTTCATGCGAAAGGCTGGCATTCACTGCCTTGCGAAGTTACCCTACACAAACACTGCAAAGCAAGGAAACGGATTCTCCTCCGTTCTCCAGAAAAGAACGCAGCCAGTTGACACTGATTTCACTACAATGAGACCCATTAGGTGTTTTTTTCTTTTAAAATGTACTCATTTATTGAAAGGCAGAGTTACAGGGAGAGAAAGGTCTTACATGTACTGGTTCACTCCCCAACGGCCACAACGGCTGGAGCTGGGCCGATTTGAATCCAGAGGCTTTTTCTGGGTCTCCCACGTGCGTGCAGGGGCCCAAGCACTTGGACCATCCTCCACCGCTTTCCCAGGCATGTTAGCAGAGAGCTGGATCAGAAGTGGAGCAACCAGGACTTGAACCAGTGCCTGTATAGGATGCCATATACCACAGCACCGGCCTCAATGCCTGGATTTCCAGATCCTCCAGTTCCTTTTCAGCCAACACTCGAGTCCCTTCTAGTGCCTGCACTGAGAGCACGCGGTGACGCAGTCTGACGGCAGGCCTCTAAGTGCCTACTACGTGTCCACATGTGAGCACACAGGTGACAGTCTGACGGCAGGGCTCTCAAGTGCCTACCACGTGTCCACATGTGAGCACGCGGTGACACAGTCTGACGGCAGGCCTCTAAGTGCCTACTACGTGTCCACATGTGAGCACACAGGTGACAGTCTGACGGCAGGGCTCTCAAGTGCCTACCACGTGTCCACATGTGAGCACGCGGTGACACAGTCTGACGGCAGGCCTCTAAGTGCCTACTATGTGTCCACATGTGAGCACACGGGTGACAGTCTGATGGCAGGCCTCTAAGTGCCTACCACGTGTCCACATGTGAGCACGCGGTGACACAGTCTGACGGCAGGCCTCTAAGTGCCTACCACGTGTCCTCATGTGAGCACACGGTGACGCAGTCTGACGGCAGGCCTCTAAGTGCCTACCACGTGTCCACATGTGAGCACACGGTGACGCAGTCTGACGGCAGGCCTCTAAGTGCCTACCACGTGTCCACATGTGAGCACGCGGTGACACAGTCTGACGGCAGGCCTCTAAGTGCCTACCACGTGTTTTCATGTGAGCACACGGGTGACAGTCTGACAGCAGGCTCTCAAGTGCCTACTACGTGTCCACATGTGAGCACACGGGTGACACAGTCTGACGGCAGGCCTCTAAGTGCCTACCACGTGTCCACATGTGAGCACGCGGGTGACAGTCTGACAGCAGGCTCTCTAGTGCCTACTACGTGTCCACATGTGAGCACGCGGTGACACAGTCTGACAGCAGGCCTCTAAGTGCCTACTACGTGTCCACATGTGAGCACACGGTGACACAGTCTGACAGCAGGCTCTCAAGTGCCTACTACGTGTCCACATGTGAGCACGCGGGTGACACAGTCTGACAGCAGGGCTCTCAAGTGCCTACCACGTGTCCACATGTGAGCACGCGGTGACACAGTCTGACAGCAGGCCTCTAAGTGCCTACTATGTGTCCACATGTGAGCACGCGGTGACACAGTCTGACAGCAGGCTCTCAAGTGTCTACTACGTGTGCACACTGTGAGCATGCGGGTGACAGTCTGACAGCAGGGCTCTCAAGTGCCTACTACGTGTCCACATGTGAGCACGCGGGTGACACAGTCTGACAGCAGGGCTCTCAAGTGTCTACTACGTGTCCACACTGTGATCATGTGGGTGACAGTCTGACAGGCAGGACTCTCAAGTGCCTACCACGTGTCCACATGTGAGCACACGGGTGACAGTCTCACAGCAGGGCTCTTAAGTGCCTACTACGTGTCCACATGTGAGCACACGGTGACAGTCTGACAGCAGGGCTCTCAAGTGCCTACCATGTGTCTACACTGGGCATGCGAGTGACACAGTCTGAGAGCAGGCCTCTCAAGTGCCTACTACGTGTCCACATGTGAGCATGTGGGTGGCAGCGTGGATGGGCAGTATTGGTCAGGCCTTTAATCTTAACAGACAAGAAACTGGGGGAAGAAAACTGTGGCTGGTTCATAACAGAAAGACAGGCAGACTCCACACCAGGTGAGTTCAAAGAGGAGACCAGCCCAAGCACGGAAGATTTGAGAGCTAGGATAAAACCGTGCTGTTTTATTTTAAATACCACTGGGTGTCACTCATGTAGTCATTTCTTGATCATAATTTTTCCTTTCTCTCTCTCTGCTTTGCCTTCTAATTCTGCCAGTACATTTGATGTTGCTCTATTTTCTGAAACATTATCTATAATCTGCCCAATACTCACCTACAATTTTAATAAAGTTGTTAGTGAGATCCAGTTCTAGGAGTTTAAAGCAAATGGTACAACGGCCATGAGCAGCTGCACCTCATAGATCAGTAAGAAAAAAATCAGTGAAGACACTCTCATGCAAAACAAAAAGTTTTTCGAAGAAATGCTAAAAACCACGTAACATTTCTTGAACATTTTACGTGATTGTCCATAAGGTCTGTGAAAATAAGTCTTTAACCTAATTCCCAGGTTTCCTAAACTCTGTAGGTATATATGAACACACATATACACACAACCCCTTGCTTTTTTTAAAAAAATATTCATTTTATGTAACTCCCTATTTGTTTCAGTACTCTCTATTTCATCAATGCATTTTTTGGAGAAAAATATAAAAATATATGCTAATATTTATCAATATTATTATATTTTAATATCATTTAATCTCTTCATGTTCTATAGAGCAATAATTTATTTACACATATGTTCTATTGAGCAATAAATTATTTATTTATATGTTTACATGTAAGATCAAATAGGAAAAAAAAACCCTAAGGATGGATTTTCTATAATACTAACATTAGAAAGCTATAATTTAGAGGCCGGCACCATGGTGCACTATGTTAATCCTCCGCCTGCGGCACTGGCATCTCATATGGGTGCTGGGTTCTAGTCCCGGTTGCTCCTCTTCCAGTCCAGCTCTCTGCTGTGGCCCGGAAGGGCAGTGGAGGATGGCCCAAGTCCTTGGCCCCTGCACCCACGTGGGAGACCAGGAGAAGCACCTGGCTCCTGGCTTCGGATCGGCGCAGTGCTGGCTGTTGCAGCCATTTGGGGAGTGAACCAACGCAAGGAAGACCTTTCTCTCTCTCACTGTCTATCACTCTGTCAAATAAAATTAAAAAAAAAAAAAGTAAAAAAGAAAGCTATAATTTTATCATTTGTACCTAAAAACCTGGCAATTCCATAGTGTTGCAGGTTTCTGAATCTCCTGAGCAATTCCACACTACCTGACCTCCTATGACAGTATTCTGTCCTTTCATGGGAGCAGTTTCACAAAAGCAGACATTCAGCCAGGCAGACCTGGGAGCCAAGCTGTAACACTGCTCCAAATACTCACTGCACAGCCTCAACACACTTACTCAGATCTGTTTTTTCCCTCTTGCTCCACGTTTATTGTAGACATCCTGAAGGCAAGATGAGTTTCTGAGCCATCTTTGCAACCCCAAGAAAACAAGGTATAGGGCTATGCACAGACTATGTGATCAACAGATTTTTGCTGGGGCCGATGCTGTGGAGTAGCAGGTAAAGCTGCTGCCTGCAGTGTGGACATCCCATATGGGTACCAGTTCGAGTCCTGGCTGCTCCACTTCTGATCCAGTTCCCTGCTAATGAGCCTGGGAAAGCAGTGGAAGATGGCACAAGTCCTTGGGCCCCTGCACCCATGTGGGAGACCTGGATGAAGCTCCTGGCTTTGTTGCTTGGCCCAGCCCTGGTCTTTGCGGTCATTTGCAGATGGAAGACCTCTCCCTCTCCCTCCTCTGACTTTCAAATAAATAAATAAAATCTTTTTAAAAATAGATTTTTACTTATAAGCTATGGTTACAATGTTTAGAAAAATGTTATTGAGGAATTACAAGTGAAAAATAACTCTCTTCAGGACAAAGGCTATTCTTTTTTGGACAGCAAGACTGCTGGCCCAATGGTCTCCGCCAATTCCACTCAAAGCACTGGTTTGTGGCAACAGAAGGAGGCTGCATCAGCAAGTAAACGAACTCACAGCTTCTTTCGTTCAAGAGTCTTACTATTACAAAAGCCGGGTGACCTAGGCAGTTTGTGCAGTGGCGTATCCCATTTGTGTCTGCACAGTGCCTTGTCTCACTGTGCACGGGCCCTGGCCTGCAGACCACACTCTGAGAAGCATCATTTCATACAGCTATTAAAGTCAGACTAATAATAATAATGATGATAATTGCACCAATTAGCATTTATAGAGCGCTTAGTTCATGCCAGATGCTGTGGTAAGCACTGCACTTTACATGGATTATTTCACTTAAACTCTTATGAATCTCAAGAGGGCTTACTTTCTTATTTCCACTTTTCAAATGAGGAAATTTAAGCCTGGGGAGGTTTAGCTAATTTATCCAGCTGTGGAAAAGCAGGTGCTGGAAGTCAGGCAGTCTGAGGCCAGCTTAATCTTAGTCCAGTGTACACCGGATGCTTGACCACATGACCATGCTGCCTCCTGACTGCGTTAGACAGCAGGCTCACGTTGCACCACTGTGGGCTGAAGTACTTGACACAACAGGGCATGTTCTGGAA